GCAGAGATGGAGTGTGACTCCCTTCGCAAGCAACTGGAGGACGAGAGATCAAATCTGGAAGCTAGCAGTAAAGGGGACGAACTGCAAAGAAGACTTGGGGACATGCAACAAGAGCTCGAAGATGCATGGGATCGAGCGGCCGACTTGGAAGTAGAGTGTGATTTGCTCAAAGAGACCCAGCAAGAGCAGGCAAGGCCTTTGCATGTGCTTTAGGTCCAGATGCTTAGAACCAGTGGGATGCAGAACTGGATTTTCAGAATCAGCTACATTATCCACCTATCACAATCCATTGTTGGTCTATCGGTCTCTCTATCTCTTAATCTACAAGCTACAGATACAGTCTATTTTCTAGTTGTGATCTTGAGGCGGAAGGAATGACCCCCAAGAACCAAACCATGCAGCGTTTCTCTCTGGCCTTTAGGAGATGAAGCGCACCGGAAACAACGCAGACGGCAAGACATGGCGCGAAGTGGAACTTGAGCGTCGGGTCTCAGAGCTCTTGGCAGACCTGGGCCGTTTGCACGAGCCGCCGAAAAGAGCTAACAATAGAGTTCGAGATTTTTAAGTTCTAGCAGAGGGCATCGCTACTAGGAGCAAGAAGCTACTAGTAGCTCCTGGCATTACTTAGTAACAAGGACGCTACTAGTATCTACTAGTAGGGAAGGGCATCGCTACTAGGAGCAAGAACGCCATGTACCATGGGTGGCCCCAATGATTCCAGAAGGACACTTCGCCTTCGGCCCCAGGAGAGACGAGCGAAATTGATTCTGCCTTCAGCAGCTGTTGATGAATCAAGGGGCCACCTGGGAGAACACTTGTGGTGTAAAGTCCAACACAGTTGATCCGACTACAGTTCCACACGATTTTTGCCCTACTTGTCATGTTGCTACGTGCCTCATGAGCGGTTTCACACTAGCAAACCATTATCTGCAAACGGGAGTTAGCTAGCTTGCTCCGACTGGGTCTTGCTGGGTTTCGCTGCTGCCCATGGCACTTCGCTTCGAGCTGCTGGCTTTGGGCAGCGCACTGATCATCCAGCTCTTCTATTCGCAGCTCTACGAGACCTTCTTCCAGCAAAGTGCAGCAGAACCAGGAACCACTGCACCAAGTGCGTCACCAAGCACCCCCAAGGTGGACGATGTGCCCAACCTTGAAGTGATTGAAGTGCGCGAGTATTTGTCCTCTGAGTGTGATGGGCCGCCTGCCCGGGTTTGGGAGATCCGGGTCGAGGTGGAGTCGACACCTGATCACCCTGGAGTCCTGCCCTGCATCAAAATTCGTCCTCAGATGAAAGTTCCAGGGGAAATGACTTCACGGGCATTGGCAGAGAATCTCTACGGAAGCTAGACGACAGCTCCGCAAACTATTTTGTAGTTTTGGCCATGACATGTACTAGTGACTAGTGATGGACACTTTTAAAGTCATAGATACAGAGTGCCATCTGGAATCAACATCATCATCTCATATACTCACCATCATTTGACACAACATGCTTGCAACCAATTGCAGACATGTTATACATTTGTGCAAGAATAGCAACCCAGTTCTTTTTGTGTTTGTGTGGGTATAACATGGTATAACATGCCGAAATTACGCGGCAAGATCTCGAGTCAGGTAGAGTGTCCTGTGAGACACTTCGGCACGAAGAAGGCGGATTTCTGGATTTATGCTCTGATGAGACCTGCAGCGAAGCTGGCTGCCAAAGAATCTCCATTGTACCTGAAGGTGAGTGTGGACTGAGCTTTACTGGCTTTTCAGCTGCCTCTTGGCGCTGTGTCAAAGACCGCTCAAGATAAAAAGTGGACTTGAATTTGAAGCCTGGCCGCCTTGTGTGCTTCTGTTGGTGTCCAAGAAGGCACAGGATGACATGCATTGGCACTGTCATTTTCATACCTAGTATAAGTACCAAAGACATGACTAAGAAACATATCCCAAAGGCAATTGTGAGAGATTCAGGAGATGGGGCACATGATGTCTATACTCTGCAATCTTCGGGGATCCCAGGTACAACAAACAACACTATAACCCGCATCCAACAACGTGCGATCACGTGTGAATCAAGTCAAGTTATATTCCAGGCAAACAGAACAACATACACAAGCATCCCCGTAAATGCCATATGCAAGTCCAGGCAGGGCCCCCAAAATCATTCTCACAAGTAAAGGTCATAAATCCCACAAAGGGTCACGGTGGACACTTCTGGGCACAACTTCACAAGGGACGAACACGGTGAGGTGCCAGGAGCCAGGCGAGTCCCCTTCCGGAGACGTCTCCAGTCGGTTGGGCGCGGGATGCGGCGGAGCCTGGCTGGACTCGCTGGAGTTGCTGGTCCAATTTGGAGTTGCTCGGCTGAGGCCAATGAAACATGCCCTGGCCCTGCCGCCCTAGTCAATTGATGGTAGTGGATGATCCCTTTATCTGGGGAGGATACACTTGCAACGTGACCAACCATCAAATTGCCTTTCTTTGACCTGAGTTTTGCCTTGCAGCAGCCCTGCAGGTTGTTGGCTGTTTGCTCCCTGCCGACACTTCTCACCAGCCGGGCGCTGCGGACACATTCACTTGAGAGCTGAGAAAATCATCGACCTGTCCAGCTTGGACTTGTCAGTGAATGACACAGATGAAGCAGACGATTGGGAACCTAGGCAGAGGAGTTAAAGCTTAATATTTTTTAATGAAGCCATACATGAGCCGCACCGTCATGAGAGGAGGGACAAGACAAAAACTTCATGAAACTGTTTCTCTTGCACAAAAACATATTCATTTTACCAAACTTGTTTTGACTTTGATTTGCTGGCTTTTGTGTCCTTCCTCGGCGCCTTGGATCCCTGTGCCAAGGAAGCAATGATTGACCGCATGGACTTTCAAGGAGGCCTTCCAACAGCCAGTGATTTCCGAGCTCCTGAACAATCTTCTGCCTATGATGAAGAGGCCTTCTTGGAGATCGAAGCCACAGAACTCAAGAGGGCATTGCAGAATGGCTATGCGATTTGGGATGTCCGAGAGCCAGATGAGTACCGTCTGGGACATTTGCCACAGTCCAAAAACGTGCCACTCTCGGACTTGGAAGCTGCATTGGAGCCGTTTCCGGAAAGGGGATTGCTGCTCATTTGTGCCACTGGAAGCCGATCCTCACAGGCTCAAGTCCGATTGTCGAGAGTCTATGGGATTTCAAACGTCTTCAGTGTGCGGGGAGGCTTGGCAGCTTGGGAGGCGGCCGGAGGACAAGTTTCCTTGAACTATTCCGGAGATGATCTTTGACTGGCTGTTTCACTCCGAAGCTGAAGATTTGGACATGCCAAGACTGCTTAACCGCCTTCACTTTGATTCCTGAATTTTGGGACTGAACTTGGGTGTATTGGCAGTGGTGAATGAGAAGGCAGTCACAGGCGTCCATTGAACAAAGGGCCAATCTGCTACGGATGCGGGCCGCACTTCGCATGAATCCAATCACAACCTCACCAAAAGGTTGAACAGTTGAACACGAATGAGTGGCCATCGTCAAGTGACCTCAGCAGAAGTCTGGCCAACAGCCACCAGCATTGCAAGTTTGACACATAAACATTTGCGTCCCTATGCAGACTAATTATCCGCCGCATGCGACTGAAGCTTTGAGAGATGGTCAGGCAAACAAGATTCTCCACCAGGATTCTGCGAGTCAGCGCTCTTTGGGCAGGGACTACTAGTAACAAGAAGCTATATTCTAGGAGCTAGGTTTGAAGGTGAGTCCAGTGCGCACCGGGACTACCCAGCACCCTTGGAAGCTTTGCGGCACATGCTGGAGGGCCATCAGCCTACAAAAGAGCGGATGTAGGGAGCAGTGCGGTTTGAAGGTTTGTCTTCAATGTAGGAAGACTATCAACCCCAGTATTGAAATTCTGCTTTGCCTTTTCCTGAACAGTTTCTCACCGTTTGTTCATAGTTTCTCGCGCAAAGGCTTCCCCAACAAAGTTGTCCAACAAGATGGTATTGAAGGGAACATTTATAGGTCAGATAGTTTCAGGAGTTCTCCACTTCCTCCCCAGAGCTTGCCAGATTTGTTTTGGATACGGCTCCATTTGTTGAAGGCGGGCACTGCTGGCATCCAGCTACACTTTCGCAGCTGTCGTTCTTGGCCTACAGGGCTGGAGGTGATGCAAGAGGACATATTCTCAACTTCAGATCCGGAAGGCGTTACTGCCGCCATCATGTATCGGTCTAGGCATTGCAATCATCTAAATCGAAGAAACGTATGTTTAATCCATTTGGTCGAAGTATAGCGACCTCACCCGACGTCACTCCAGATAAGGGGCTACTGTTGGGTGAGGTCGCTATATGGCCCCTTCAGGCACCATGTCTCTCCCCACACCAAACACTTCTTTTGTAACCATACCCACTTCCCTTGTTCTTTGCTGCGGCTTGCTTGGTGGCGCCGCCTCTTGGAAGGCGCGGTGGGACCTGGGCTCGGCTGGTATCTAACTGGGGCCCAGCCAGGGAGTTGGTTCTCACAAATTTTCTGCGGGGAGTGTCTTCCTTAGCTTCCTGCTTGGGGCTCTTCGCTTGTGGCACGGCGCTGGGTCAGTGGGGCATTGTAAAAATAAACGTTTCAGGCTACGAACCGTTTTTTCAACCTTGGGGCGAGCTTTTCAAAGAAACACAGCTAAACTAAATAGGTTAGCGCCAAGGAAGGATTAAACAAGAGACCTGCAGTAGGGGAGTGCGAACAATACCACTAGACCACAGTACCTTCTGCCATAACTTGAGAGACTAATGAATGGGCATGAAAACCCCACACAAACATGAAAGGCGACCTGAGGGAAAAACTTTTCGGAGCCACACTTGCAGTGAGACACAAAAGAGCCACGGCCCTCCACCGGATCGGAGGCGGATTTGCAGTCGCATCATCGCGGTCTCTTTGTATTGGATCACTGGAATGTTCTGAGGGTGGCCCTCTTCCCCCCCCAAAAAAATGGTTGGACCCTGAAAAGTTTTTTTCCGCTCATGTCCATTTGGGGCCCGAGGTTTCGACAGATTTCGACACAGTGGCTCCAACCAGATACCAAACACTGAGCGATCTCTGTTTATTACTGAAATCTCTCTCTCTCTCTATTGTTTGGCATTGAAACAATGCCCCAAAACTCACCAGACCTGGAGAACAAAGGGTAGACATCCTGAGTTCCAAGTGATGGTTCTGCTCTTGGCAGGCCTTCAGCTCCGCCGCTGCGCTCCAGCCACGCCGTGGAAAGATCAAACAAATTGTTTGGCCAAATTTCCTCAGACAAGGCTGACTCCCCAGCCATCCTAGTGGCACAGGCACCGGGAGCAGGCAAGAGCCATTTCCTGGCCGCGATCGGAGAGGAGATTCCGATGCTGTACGACCTGGATGGCAGAAACCAGACACCGATTGTCCGATCGTCTCGGCGTTCACCTACAACTCTGGAATGATCACAGATGACATTGAGAATCTCAAGGCTGACTTGGCGCTGCGGGTTCTTTTTGGTGCAGCAAGGCACATGAGCAGGACACCGTACAGGTGGAGTGACTTCTTAGAGACACCCAAATCTCTTGAGATTGACATCAATTTAGCCGTGAAAATCCTTTGCAGATGGTACGGTGACCGGCCCGTTGTGATCCTGGCTGACGAGGTCGGGAAAGTCAAAGGACGAAGCTTTGGTGCGCCAGGAGCTTTGCAGAGCCATGGACCTTTAGGGAGGCCAAGTCTTTGTCGTGATGTCTGCTCTCAGCAACTATGCAGCAACTGTGGAGATGTTCAAAGGCAACAATCGAAAGGTCTACATTTACACTTTGGCAGTGCTGGGTACTGATGCCTACAAACTTTTTTCCACCAAGCTCGGTGAACTGCAGCAGAGTATCAAGAGGGACATCCTGGAGTACCGAATTAATCTTGCCTGGGGAGCTACTGGCGGCTACCCGCGGGCCATTGAGACAGTGGTTGAATATATCAGCGACCGTGCCGACGGTCTCAAAGCTGGAGTTGTCTCACGGGCCACAGGGCACCTTGGAGAACTCGGGCAGAACTTGCCTCCAATGTTTTCCAAGGCGGAGTTGGACACTTTGTTAGAGATATGGGAACAAGAAGATCGTCCTTTTAGTCTCTGCGTATCTCTGCGTAAAATTGTGAATCTCATGCCTGAAGCCACATACAAAGGGAGTGTGCTTATAGACTCAGCTGGGAAGGGGAGACTGCTCCCAAGTTCGAAGGTGAATCAACTCAGCACCCTGACTGTCAAGCTCTGCCTTTACAGAGTTTGCACGACTGGCTTCGGTCCACTGAGAATGAAGCCGCAACCTCACAAGAAGTAATCGAAAGCCACTTTGAAGGTGAGTCCTCAATGAAGGCCCACTATCAAGCACCCTCAACAGAAGCCTTGCTGGAAGCCAGCAGCAGTGCAAGTTTCAGGCAAACAGATTTGCAGCAAGAGCAGTCACCCACTTTCCAAGGCCAATCGACAACACACCACGATTTCCAAGCACCACCAGCGACTGCCGTAAAGCAGGTCCAGTCAAACGCCGCCATACCGAATGCCCAGGCGTTGCAACCAGTTCCATTCGAAGGTGAGTCATCCATGAAAATCCACTACCAAGCCCCTTGGAATGAGGCTTTGAAAGCAGCTGGAAGCAGTGCCCTGCAGAGAGAGTCTGGCATAGAAGTGAGAGATGCAACCGTGCCTTTCGAAGGGCAGTCCACCACACATGAAGACTACCGAGCACCACCTTTGGAGAAGCTTAGCCAGTTCCTACGGCAACCGCCACGTGATGAAGCATTTGCCACAGTGCCATTCGAAGGCGAATCATCAATGAAGGCCCACTATATCCAGCGCCCTCAGCAGAAGCCTTGCTAGCAGCCACCAGCAGTGCAGGAAGATTTCCAGTGCTTCACCTGTGGCACGATGACTCAAAGTAGCTCCAGTTCGGGGCATTTCATAGCATTTCCGTCCATGACATTGTGAGTCCACTTGGAAGCTCGACTGGGTGGGCAAAGACAAAGGTCCGGCAGAAGGACTCGCCTGGCTTCTTACGCTGGCATGCAAATGACAAAACAATGGCAGATGCTGATCCAGAGCATGGTTCTTCAGTGCAGCAGAGTATATACTTGCAGCTATTTGTATTCCTCAGCCACTTTGCTTGAGAGAAGTGAAAGTAAGTATCGTTGGCAAGTGTGGCTTGACCTGGCTGACCTAAGTGATAACACATATTGTTACTGATATAACTATACCCAGCAAAGCAGGGTTTTCAATCACGAGATGTGCTGCCAACCAATTCACGCAACAACAGATCGAAAACCCTTCAATGGTCAACTACGGTATGGCATCAAAGCATCTTCAACCCATTAACATTTACACCACATTGAGAAGGTAGTTTATGGACGCTCGTCTCATGCTTGCATAGCCTCAGTTTTGGAGGCCCATTGCCTTTGTTTCATCATGCGTTCATATTTGGCTTGGTGGGGTGTAGTTGTCCCAGCTGAGCTGTTGTGCCAGGCCATGCTTCCGGGCCCATCCAAAGCTTCACAAGCTTTCAGGCTGACCTTGAGATTGCTGGAATCACTGTCACAACATGAATTACAGGTGTTCTTTGCGAGGGGATATTTTAAGTGAGCTGAAGAGCAACCAGACTTCTCAGTGTCGTTTCTGTGACCCTCTCAGGAAAAGAGGCCGCAGAGAATCATGGTTTGTCAGAATATGCAGATGGAGGCGCGAATCCTGTTCACAAGAAGCAGCGCAGTTTGCTTTGGTTCCAAGCAAAGATCTCCACACCATTCAATAGATGGGGTGGATTGGGTTCCTAAAATCAAAGCCGCCAAAAGGGACGCAACGCCCAAGCTTAATGGGATGTGCAACGGCAGGATTGCTGTCATTTTTGCAGTGCCTGTAGCTGTCCGTTCCTGAGCCTTAGCAGTTGTAGATCCAAGGACAGGACCTCAAGAGTCTACCAAGATGTTGTCACTGATTTCTTGACGCCGAAAGGCTGTAGAATCTTTTGAAGTAACCCTCACTTCTGCCTTCTGCTGAAGACCTCCAGAGTCTGGGATTCTCATGGATTTTCCACACACGCAGCTGGATAGATCCAGACAATTCCAGAGGTCCAGAGGTCCAGAAACGAACTCAGCTCCATGTTCGCCGCCCAGGTGGACTCCGCGGCGGTGGGCTCCGTCCAAGATCTGGGACAGGCGAACTTCTCAAAGGCAGTGACAAGGCACATCCGACCGTGGCACATCCAAGCTCATCCCGACCTACCTCAAGAGTTTTGGACACTCCCCGCCTTTCGCGGTGCAACATACTCCACATATATAGGATTTCTAGGTCCACACAACATGTTCATACATGGTCTATATTCTGATATATCCTATCATCATATTTTACTCGTTCTTCAGTCATCCGGTTGATTTTCTCATATTCCTCCTGCATTCGTTCTTGGCACCTGTGGTTCCCAACACACGAAAAACCCGACGAGGCCGGGCCTGAGCTTCGTGGAGTTTTATGCGCCATGGTGACAGGGCCCCCAGCAGAACACTCCAAACAGTGAAGGCGTCGACATGGCAACCGAAGGTCATGCAAGAAGTGGACTAAGCCCTGAAAAATACACGGTTGACCATGTTGACATTATGTTCACCCCCAGTTTGCGCACATTGTCGTCTCAAGTTTTGAGGTGGACACTGCAAGAAGCTGGTGCCAGAATGGGAGAAGACCGGTGGGTGGAACGGGAGAGCGGGTGAAGGCTTTGTGCACTTTATGCACTCGGTCCCGGTGGCTACTGGTTGCTGAGAACGCTGAATCAAAGCATGCACTCTTAGACTATTGGATGTGGGTGGGCAGCTTCACAGTTTAGCTCATTTGGTGCAAAGCTGGTTGACATAGGACGGCAGAGCTTTGCCAAGATGCCGACATCCTTGTTGCCAAGGCCTTTCTTTGAGCGTTGCTGTGAGCAAATCCTTGAAACAGACGGTGGTCATTGTAGTAAAGCAGGTAGATGCGATCGCCGAGAAGTCCCTGGCTCAAGAGCATGAGGTGCAGTCCCACACTCAGAGCACATTATTTTCGTTTGATACCCAAACACCTTCTCTCTTTCCACCTCTTCTTCTATTTTCTTACTTTCTTTAAGACATAGTCATAAGAACTATCCATTACGTTTCATTTCTTATTTTCTTTCCATTTCTATTTATCTTTTTGTATTTTCTTACGTTCTTTCTTGTTTTCACCTCACTTCCTTGCCGAACGCCTGAGGTCCTTCCCCACACTCAGACTCTACAGGGGAAGTCCGCAGGCAAGAGCAACAAGCGTCACATGATGGTATAACCCTTTTTTCAGTACAGAATACCTGGATTTCCCGGAGTAAAGTGAAAGTGGTTCGACACATTGGGATGTTTTCTAAATCAGGTAGGATTTCTGAAGAGTTCGGAAGGAGGGGAACATCCAACCATCATTTTTATGCCTTTTGACACCCGCGGACCTTAACGAGTCTGTTTCTTCCGCCAAACAGAAGCTGGCGCTCAAGGGATGCTAATGACTTCTTTCAGTGCTTGCATAATTACGTGCGCAGGGTTTGACGAGTCACCTTCTCTGTGAACCTTGCCGTGGATCCTTACAAAAGCACCTTGAATATACTGCCCTGCTGTGCAAAGTTCCACCACAAAATCCAACATGCACCAGACACGTGCACCCGCACGGACCACAAAACAACATTTTGTGGGACGATGCGCGAGGTGGTTCTTGAGGTGAGTTTTGCATCCAGACAGCTGTTCAATGCTTTTCGTACAATAGATCTCAGGATTTTTGTCAAGACTAGAAGAACGAGCTTTTGCGTGGCCGAAGGATGTATACTGCAGTTTGCTGGGTTCTCCATGGATCTTCATGGCAAACAGGAGGTTCTCTGACCTTGGTCTTTGCTTCACTTTGCGGTTGCCAAAGTTGACCTGAGCGCAGACAGTGTGCTCAGTTGCCCTATGCAGATCCGGTCACAGACAGGTTGCCATGTAGAAAACAGGCACTTTTGGGAGCCTTGTTGACAACAATGAAACTTTCGAATTGGTGAGTGATGACCTTGCTAGAGTGTTCGACCTTTGCAAATGGCCTTGAGCATATGCTGTGCTTTTATTGGGGGCCGACGAGGGAGTGATTGATACTGTTTGGTTTCTTTTTTGGAGGGCCGATGGAGCCAGGGGACCTTCTCTGCTGAGTTGCGTCTCTTCTGAGATAGGTGAACCTTGAGAGTTTCACTGTGTGGCCGTGCAGATGGTTTCTGGTTCTGTTACCCGAAAGCGAGTTAGGGAAGAAGGAGCGCTGTTATTTTGTCGACCCATTCCCAACGCGGTATACTCGTGCGCTCGCGAGATCTGCCCCGCATGTATACTGATGTATACCGCTGCCAAGCGGTTCCCAAGGGGCCCTGGTGAATGAGAGACTGACAGGATGCCACTACATCTCAGTTCGTCCGTCCATTCAATAGCAAGCCAGCTGTTTTATTTTTCTGATGCAAATGTCCTCAGAGGGCTGCTAGATCCATGTAGTAAGGGGACAGATGACTACTGTTTCCAGTCTGCAGGTAGCTGTGAAATACGAGGGCCCCCGAACAGCTGACAAGATGGCAGAGTGGGCCAAGGCACGACACTGCTAAGGCAATGCAAGACGAGCGCGAAACAAGCGGGCTGTCGGGTTGCCTTTGATTTCAGTAATTCCAATCAGTAGTAGATAATATGAGGAAACCATTGTTTCAGCAAAAGGAACACATTCACATCTAGAGTGGGCCGAACTATGACGAAATCTTTTTGTAACTGGCGTCAACGGTGGCAGGGCAAGCTGACAGAGAAGTTCGTCCAGCGCCGCTTGGCGTTCTAAATGCAACATTTGCATGTCTCAAAAGCCAACTAGGCATGCAACGGAGCATTTGTAGGTTACATTGTTAGCACGGATCTAGCTGTGTCAATCCTTGTTTCAGGCTGCAGCCTTGTTCCAGATCAGATTCGCTCATGTCTCACGGTGCCCCACAAATGCAGTGGGCACTTTTGTTGGCGTTATGTTTGCCTGCATGGGGACGGGTCTCCTCCATCGCAGCAACTGGCAACCCTCATGCTCCACAGTGTAGCACTGGTGATTGCGAATGCCAAGCGCAGCGATTGGATCTCCACTTGGCAAACTTAGTGCCGTTCCTACCAGTCCAGGCAGACTCCTTCATTGGAATGGAAGAACATGAAGTCCAAGGCCTTAAGGCGAAGTGGTCTTGGATGTTTTGGTTGCAATGTTCGCGTCCTTTCGTTTTGACGTTTTTTTGATCCTCAAACTAGACTTGACACTTCAAGTCTCTATTCTTGACACTTGTTTGATAGGTGAACCTCTACAATTTCAAGCAGCCAGCACGACTGAGCGAGCTTCAGCTGCCCTTCAAGCTCCTCTTGTTGCGATCTGTGGATCTCACAGACACTCAGCTCTATGAGGTGCCAATGAAGCAAGCTGTGGATTCGTGGTTCCCAGGTGGGCCATGGTGGGCCTGCGATTGGAAAGGTATCTGAGTCAATATGATGATATGCCTGAGTTTCACTATTCCAAGCACAAGACAACCTTTTTCCAGCAAAATTTCAAGTCCTTGGCTGAATTCAAGGTTCAGTTTCAGGACGTTTCATCAATGTGTTCGATGTTGCTGCATTTGTTTGAAGTTTGAAGGAGCGAAACACCCTTCGCCTTTCCCTGCAGGCTTTGCATGGTCGATTCTTCTTTGCAAGCGCTGTCAGGGGCGTCACCTTGGATGGAAGTTCACCCCAACATCAACCACCGACGGCTCTGCGTTCTATGCGCTGATTGTGGAAGCTGCAAAGGAGGCCAGGAAAAGGAAGTAGTAACAAGGGCATCGCTACTAGGAACAAGGACGCTACTAGGGGCTCCTGGCCTTACTACTACGAGCAAGAGCACAGGGACTCAACAGGAATCAAACCTAGCCATGCAGAGCCTGCATCATTGTGCTTGTACCTCAGCCTGGGGATTTGCAGCGAAGGTCCATAGGTTTGGCTTTGCTGTAGTAGCAAACAACCAATAGCTTTCTTGGTCCCTTCAACTGTTTTTTTCATTTTGAAGAATTCACATTAGATAAAGCATCATTGTATAACAAGTTAAGTCACAGTTCCCCAATAGCCATGCTATGGGGTCTTGCAAAACTAATAGGCGGACGGGCGCCGTCGGGTCATCGTCAGAGCTGGTGGGCCGATGGTGTCCCGGTCATATTTCGATGGTGTCCCGGTCATGTGATGCTGGTGTCACGGTCGTGTTGTGTTGGTGCCCGGTCATGTTGTGACGGTGTCACGGTTATGTGATGATGGTGTCCAAGTCAGAGATGGTCGATGTGTTGAAACAGCAGCTGTTTCCAAATTGTGCTTTTTGTCCTGGTTTGTATCTTGCTATTGGGGTCTCCAGCTTGGCTAATTGATTTTTAAACTTTGACATATTATATATATAATATACACATACATACACAGTATGTATTGATAATATCTTGTTAGACCCACAGGAGGAGCTTGAGAATCATCTCTTGGTGACTCTCCGCGCCGTCGGGCGTCCGTTGGCTGCCCTGGGCTTGGCCGCATCGATCTTCGAGACCAGCTGAGGGGCATCGATCGTCAAGGACTCTGTACATAGTTGACACTTGGATCAGAGGAGAAAAGAAGACAGCAGAGAGCTTGGATGAACGTGGAGAGCCAGGATGTTGGATGAGATCTAGTGAAAAGAAGCCGGGTGAGCTGGGTGAGGTAGGGTGTGTGATTCAAACTCTGCTGCATTTACCATCACAGTTGTGTTCCAAAGTCCAGCCTTTGTCTTCTCGTTGCGAAGGTCTAGGGGGATCTCCTGATGAGATCTTCTCTTGGGCTGCCAAGAAGTCTGTTGCCATTGTTGGGTTTTGAGCTGAGCTGGTCACGCACGATCCTCTCAAAGTTGCTTTGCACTTCTCGTCGGTCCAAGTTCAAAGGTCTTTGAACCTGGAGGATGTGTACTTTGTGTTTTGCAGCAGAGACTGAGAAACACGACAGATCCTTCAGTGAAATCATCATTTTGGGGAGCATTGGTGCCGATTCTAGCAATACTTCAACTTCTTTTCACAGGTAGCTGCAAGGAACTAGAACCATGGACGTCCATGAAACATGTCTAGTACAAAAGGCACCACCGGCCAGTTGCCGAGGCTGCTCGATGGCATCGTTGAAAGCAGCATGCTTTTCGAAGTGATGGAAGTGTGCTACTTAACGAAGCGCTAGGCCAAGACCAAGCGCTAGAGCCAGGGAATCCGTTTCCTGGCTAGAGCGTTGGCTTGATCAACCATGCTAGAATATATTGAAACATATTGGAAGAGAGCACCTGGCGTACAGCTGGAAGTTCTCACTTTGGACTGTGGGCCATGTTGGCGTCGGGGCAGCTCGCCCCCAGGGTACTGCCCAAATGCAACAGTAGCAAGTTGTCCGAAGTCCTGTATTTGTTGGCTATGTTGGCCAACCTCAGGAAATCCTGCTCTGAGGATTTCCACCTTTTGGACTAGCTGACTAGCCTACTAGCTTTGATTTGATTTGAGACTAACTAGAGAGCTCAAACCAGTCGTCTCCGGTAAAACCAGAAATCCCAGGATGTGTCCTTCGCCTTGAACCCCAAAGGAGCTGGAGGCGCGTAGGACTTGGACACGTGGGCAGAGGATTGTCAAGGAACTCACGAAGGAAGACTGGTCTACCAGGTTGCAATGCAAATCAGGTTGGTTTAGGATGTTTAGGTAGCAATCTGGCCAGATGCTTGAGCCGGGGCAATAGTGTCATTCAACAGATTGGTCATGATCATTCAACAGATTTGGCCGACAAGATTCAAGAAGTGGCCAGCTGGTTGGAATATGTTGGAATCATTGAATTTCTTCAAACCAACATGCTGGAATCATTATTTGTTGGTGCGCTGCAAAAATTTCTTCCAAAACAAGTCACGTCTTTAGCACTGCCCTTCGTCCGATGCGAGGCGAAGTGGCTGTGGGTATTGTGGAGACTGCATCACCTGCTCTCCTGCAAGGGCTAGGCTCGAAACCTAGCAAGGCAGCCATGTGATGCAGGAAACGTCAGTGATGCCAGATCAGCTTGAAGTTCTTCCCTTGTCTACTCGGTTCCTACCAAAGATTATTTGTCCGCGAAGCGGAGCAATGAGTCTGCAGGAACTGAGTTTGGGCAGTCCGAAGATCGATCACCACAGCTTCGATCAATCGCTTCGAGCTTCCAAAGCTTGCTCAGGTTCTGGCAACCAGAAGCTGCCCTGCGTTCGGCGCCACAGACAGGCAGACTTCACCCAAAACCAACCCACAATTCGACGGTGTGCACAAGGCCTGGGCCGTGAAAGTACCAGGGTGTTGGCCGGTCACAACGATGATCCATGCAGATTGGTGCATATTGTCCAATTTGTCAATGTTCGTCATGCACCATCCTCAGCCTTCGGCAATTAGGGGTCAGTGTCAGTGGTCTTGACAAGACAACTTGGCCCCATTCTCCAACTAGATCACAAGGCCAGACATGTTGTTCATTGCAGGCAAGCTCATATGGTTGAATTTGTGTTTGGAGGTTTCTCAGTGGCCTTCAGTGTGAACTAAATCTTCCAGGCATAAAGATGGGTGGTATCTGAAGAGAGTCGGTGACCAATTTCTTCCATCTCATCACGGAACAAGCACAACAAGGCAACATGATACGATTGAAAGGTGACAAAACAACACAAAGACGGACTAGGGTGTATTAGAATCACCCATGTTTGTGCGCGATCCTCGTCATGTCTGACAAAGGTGAGGCCATGCCTCCAATGGGTAAGGCCATCCTGGTCCTGACTTCCCGGCTGAGAAAAGTCCCACATGTCCTCCGCATGAGGTTGCACTTGTGCGCAACTTTGACTTCGAGGAGAAGGCATCGCACTCAACTAATAGACCAAGGCCATTTCATCGCATATAGTAGTTTGCGCCTAATCATTTTATATACAGTAAAGCATTCTTTGCGAGGTGCTCTTCTTCAACGCAGAGCAAAGTTGGAAGCAAAGCTTTGCGCGGCGCTGAGCTACACATACACGACTCACATGAGCTGACTGCAAGAACTTTGGTGTTTGTCGACTCTGCATCTATGTAGCTGAAGCAGAAGCAGTTGTTTGCTTTACCCTCTAGGGTAGCTTGATGTCCTGGATTGCCAAGAAGCGTGTGCCGGTCTCCAGCTTAGACGTGTTTCAGTGCGAGCAACAAACAGTACCGGCATGCAATCATGCATTATGCCGCAGAAAGCAGGTTCATTTCAGTTGCTCCTGACGTGGGGAGAATGTGCAACACCTTCTTGTTACTACTAGTAAGGCACCTGTTACTACTAGCTAACTGAGTTTCTTTGGATTGTTTGCAGTTTTTGTCTTCCAAACTTTTGCAGTGTTTTGAGGCACTCATACCAGGTTCGGAGCAGACAGTGGGAGCCTGAGCTAGTGGTTGGGATGGCAAGCGCTGAAGAAACGGGGCTCGAAATCTGCAAGAGTTCAGTTTGGCTCATGGTTTGCTTTCATTTGTGGTTTGATTCTGTTTGATTCATACATGCAATTGATGCTTACAGTGTGTTTGGTGCTTGAGAAGCAGTTTACGTTTTGTTTGATCACATTCGTTTTTTTTTTTTGTCTTCTGTTCAATCAGGTTTGTTTGCATTTGCTTTGTTTGCCAGGAGAAGTTCTTTCTGCAGGAGATTGATCCTGGAAATGGTTTAGTCTTGTATTTTGGTGTCCCAGGCATATTTAATACTCATGAGCTGGGGCTTGTACTTCAAGTGTAGCTCGTGAACAAACACAGTAGACCAAGAGAACGCGCCCCTTGATGCTCTGATTTCCTGGAAGTCCCAACCTTCGGAGATCCAATTCCTTGGCCTAGACTGGCCGAATGGCCTTGGAAAGCCGAATTCGCCCATTTTGGGCCCCAGACATTAGCTTATCCTTACAGGTTTTTGTTGCTTCTCCTCCTATCCTCCTGGCAGCCATGCTGTGGATCGCCGCCTTGAGCTTTGGATTGGTGGGGGCTCAGCTGCTGCCTGAGCCACCCGTTGATTTTGGTGAGTTGCAGCGCCTGATGAACGAGGAGGGCATGCTTACGGCTGAAGAGGTGCCCAGCACCAACCTTTCTAGCCCAACAATTTGTGACAGCAGCGTGAAGCAACACTCTGGGTACCTGGATGTGGCAGTGGGTACGAAGTACTTCTTCTGGATGTTTGAAAGCCGAAGCAAGCCGTCCACTGATCCATTGGTGCTTTGGCTCACAGGTGGCCCCGGCTGCTCTTCCCAGTTTGCGCTGTTGGCTGAGAATGGACCTTGCAACATGGCCAAAAATGGCACTGGCACAGAGAAGAACCCACACAGTTGGACAAACAACGCCAATGTCATTTGGGTTGACCAACCAGCTGCAACTGGCTTTTCCACGGGTCTGCCACTTGTCCATGATGAGACCGGCGTTGCCAGCAACATGTACAATTTCATGCAGGAGTTCTACAAGGCCCTGCCGCAGTACAAGAATTTGGACTTCTTCATTTTTGGAGAATCCTATGCCGGCCACTACGTGCCTGCAGTGTCCCACTACATTTGGCAGCAGAATCAAGGAAATGCCGGCTTCAAGATCCCTTTGAAGGGCTTGGGCATCGGGAATGGTTTGACGGACCCTCAGGTGCAGTACAGCTGGTATCCAGACATGGCCTTTGATGGTGGCAAGTCTGAAGGTGGCACCTTGGAGAAGGGTGTCATTGGACGAGCTGGAACACTTGCAATGAAGGCGGCCACCATCCCTTGCATCAAGCAGATTGCTTCATGCAATGGAGGGGATGCGAATGCATGCGCCACTGCCTATGCCTTGTGCAATTATGGAGAGTTGATCCCATACCAACTCACAGGACACAACCCCTATGACATGCGCATCAAGTGTGAAAAGCCTCCTCTCTGCTATGATTTCAGCAAGGTCGAAGACTTCCTGAATGATAAGAAGACCCAGTCTGAGCTTGGTGTCAACAAGAAGTGGGGCAGCTGCAATCGCATCGTGAACTTGGCGTTTCAGCACGACTGGATGCTCAACTACCAGAACAAAATCCCTGACTTGTTGAAAGCTGGCCTTCGTGTCCTGATCTATGCAGGCGACGTGGACTACATCTGCAATTGGTTGGGCAACAAGAAATGGACCTTGGCCATGGATTGGCCTCACAAGTCGGATTTCAATTCGGCAGAGGACAAGGAGTATCAGGTGGCTGGCCAGGTGGCAGGACGTTTGAGGTCTTCCAATGGCTTCCACTTCATGCAGGTCTACCAAGCAGGTCACATGGTGCCAATGGATCAGCCTGCAGTGGCCAATCAGATGCTGAACGACTTCATCCAGGGCAAGTTTGACAAGCAAACTGCCATTGTGGTTTGAAATCCATAGGCTACCACTACCTGTGTGGTAACCACCAAGTGGTGGTTCTGATGTTTCAGTACAGACGTAAAGCCTAGCTTTACCACTTTCGAGGCCTTGCCAGTTGGGTTCGGTCTCGAGTCACTTGAGTCTTGGGAGAAAAATCATTGTCCGAAGGCCTTGCACCCACCGAGTGGTGTTCCCCGATGTTCCCGCACACCCCGTCCGGCGACCCCCGTCAGCTGAGCCCGCCAGGCGAGGATGCCCAGCTGCTACGCGACCTCCACGAAGCTTAGTGGAATTCGATTCGGGATGATCGATTTCAGCAACATGAGAGTAGCAAAGGAGCAAGAGTCAAAACACGTGTGAGGATTTCTCTTGACATGTAGCATCATAGAGCTGTGACATGCTGTGACACGTGAACTTATGTTGCTTACATTGTATCCCAGGAAGTTGCTGCGTCTTCCAAAGAAAAGAAACTGAAGTGGGCTGGGCAGCCTAGAAAGGATTTTCTGTGAAGAATTACGAGGTTTCGCCTTTGGTACCAGCCGCTGCTTTGCTGGATGAACCCAGGCTTTGCAACGAACAGAATTGGTTTTGAGTCTTGAACGCCTTGAAAGTGCATCAAGAGGGTCAATGAATCCAGCGCTGGACCCTGTGCAGAGTGCTGTGCTGGTGATTCACAAGGTGCACCTCAAGAGCGACACCTTTGGAGAGAGCTTGGCCAAAAGTGTTCGGGGCCCAATTGTGACCAGTGGGTAAGGGCAGCACCAGATATGCTATGTTTTGTTTGTTTCAAATGATTTGAAGAGTGTCCAAGCTGGTGTCAAGCTTGTTTGCAAACCTTCTCATGAGTCATGGGTATGAACTGGGTAACAGCGAACCAGATACCACAACACATCTTCAGACAGGTCCTCTGTCTGTGGCAGCGTTGTCACGTTTGAGGTTTTAGGGAATGAATTTGTAATTCAGTCCGACTGAACCACAGATGTTCTTTACAACCAATTAATCTCTAGTATCGAAGTGGACCAGCTGTTGTCACCATTAAGGTGGGCCTCAGCAAGGCAGACTTCCCAGAGGCTACAGACCTGCAGATGATCCTACATACTCGTCGCACTAGAATGCCTGTTTAGTGTTGGGATCAGGTGCAGTCTGCATTTGAGGAATGATAGTCCCATAACTTGCCAATGACGCCAATTCAGCGCAGGTGGCAATTTGGGAATTCGGTGAGACTGAAGAAGATGACAAGGCGGCGCCGACATGTCCAGGTTGTCAACATGCTGAGGGTGCTAGTAGTAGCGATGGCCTCCAACCTAATAGCGATGGCCTCCCCCTAGTAGCGATGGCCTCCAACCTAGTAGCGATTATACATATTTAGGAACCGCTTCAACCATGCAAACTCATGCCCTTCTTCGTCCCAGCCTGGTATCTTCGTTGCTACTTCCCCCTCCCCACAAGAGTAAAAAGATGATACCTGATGTAAAAACACAGAAATCGAACTTTGCGCTAGGTCTTTGAGACACATTGTCACATGCACACTGCAGGTGTATCGCCTTTCCCAACAGACCTCTGCAGCTGCCTTCTCCCGAACGGCAGTGGAGGTGAACGGGTCGATGGGTTGGATGAGGCTTTGAGAGACTCAGCCAAGCGCCTGTGAGATGAGGTGATTAGGATGTCTTAGTAATGTGTTGGTTTGCCACACTCCGCAAGGCTTTCGTCAAGCAGTGGAATCAGGGCAAGTTGTTTGCTGAGAAGGAGACAACAGTTGAGCTGGATTTCAGTGCAAGCTTCGTGCGTACTGACTCAGTAAGGTAGAGTCAATCTGAGATGCTTCGTCAGTTTTATCATTTGCAAGACCGGGCAAGAGGAATTCAGAACCGTTTTCTTGAAAGGCATGCCAGGTTTACAGTTTGGTTTGTGGAATGGGTGGTCAATCGAACCTAACAGGATCCAGTGACAGCAGTCACCAGCGACACGTTTGATCGGATCGTGATCAACAACGAGAAGGCCATGCACAACAACGATGCATGCAATATAGTGTTTTGTTCATTGTTGCCTGGGGGCATATGGATCCCAACAGCTTCGAACATTGTGCAGTGCTAGTAGCAACATTGGATCTCAATTGGTGCTTTGCAGAAAGCTCGTCTTCTCAGCGAACAAGCTCGTCAGGATGTGTTGGTCGAGTTCTATGCTCCCTGGTGCGGTCATTGCAAGGCGCTGACCGCAGGGAATCATACAGCCAATGAGGCTTTCTGGAACAATATGAGAAAGCCTTCCATTACCGGACCAAGATCTCCCAGAACGCCAGACTCCAGACACGAATCTGCCCCAGTCAGTGAATGGTCAGTGATGATCGATGGATCACAGCCGCGGCTGCTTCTGATCCAGGCCTTGGCGCCGGAGTACAAGCTGGTGGCTCGAGGTCCAAGCTGCGCCTACATTCGATGGATTGACCTAAGTGGCTCTAAGTTTGCACACCAGGTGGTTCCAAGTTTGTCTCGTCTCGTAGAGACGGTTTATAGAAAGGAAGACGATGTACTAGCTGCCACTTGTTTCAAAATCCATTTGTAGTGTGTACATGTGTGTACCCATTTGCGCTTTAGCTCGATTTCTTTCAGCTTCGATGTCACTGTAACTGATGTGCTCATCTGCCAGCTTCGATCTTCCTGAGGCTCAGCACTATGCCCAGGACGAGGATGTCGCGATCGTGCACGGGAACCTAGAAGTTTGAGGAAGATCCACTTAGCAGTGGTCCAAAAGCTCAAGACTCAAACGATGAAATTCAGTTATATAAGTTGGCAAATTCAGGCCCAGCATAGATTGTAGATCGCTACTAGTAACTAGTAACAAAGGGCATCGCTACGTACTAGTAGCAAGGACGCTACTCGTAGCTCCTGGCCTTACTACTAGTAACAAGGACGCTGCTACAAAAGATTACAAAAGGACGCCAGCGTGATTTGCAGCCTGTTCCTATCCGAGTGGCCCAGGAAAATGGACGCCACAAAGTGAGCCTGGCAGATGCGATCGACTCCGATCCGAAGTCGAGTTGCGATCGGAGTTTTGCGGTTTGGTTTGAGATGGAGAAGCGTGTGAACCTCTTGGGACAAAGGGGTGGCTCCAGGCACAAGCATCCATCTGCAGAGATCAAGAGCTATCCAACCCTGAAGCTCTATGCAAAGGCTGCTTTACTTTCTTTCCTGGTGCAAGTGAAGTTTGAAGCCTTCTCGATCTTGAGTAGCATGAGCTGGTTTTGCAGGGTAAGAAGGACACGCCAATCGACGGGGAGTTCAAGACAACCAGGACCAAGGCGCAGGGGTTGTCTTTGAATGACTGTCAACTTTACTCTGGGGTCTCTTGAAGCACGACGTTATCAAAATGACGCAGAGTTCCATCACTACGGATTCAGAATGAAAGAGAGGAATGACGAGGTCCAGGTTTCATGGCCATCCCGGGCCATCCCTCTCAAAGCCTTCAGAGTTTTGCATTTCAGGATGGAATCTTGGACTTTGTGGAGAAAAACAGAGAAGGGTGCTCAGTCCCTGTCTTTCCTCATCCCCACGAGTTGGATGTGTTTTCAAGGCTCGCAAATGTGTGGCAACCTGGTAGGTAGGCAGCGCTGGTGCTAGTTGTCAGCTTGGCTTCCAAATTTCCTTTTTAGCTTGGTTTAGCTGTTTAGCTGGGTTTGGCTTAGATGGATATGAGCAACCGCCCAAACCAAACCGTGCCATGACTAATGTAGTAAAGAGCGGTCGTGAATATCAAGAATTGGGCTAAAACCTGCAAAAGCAATAGGCGTCTTGGCGTCTTTGTCAAGAGTGATAATTATGTGTCCGCAAGTTTTTGATATGTTCAGCTATGTTGACATTGTGGCTAAAACCAGCAAAAGCACTAGGCCCATCTAGGCCCCGCTAAAAGTGATAACCTTGCTGAATCATGTCCTCTACTTGACAGTGCGTCTTGGCAGATGCTCATTTTATGGTCTGATGTGGAGGAGGGGGGTACAGTAGCAGAAATCGTATGTTTGCCCAAGGCCACTTCCAAAGGCGGTAAAGGAGGGAAGAAGAAGGAGTTGAGGCCTCAGATCATTTTCTCTCCGCCATCAACAAATACAGTAACATGCGGGACTTGGCCATTTACGCACTTAAATCCTCTAGACTCTAGACTCTATTTGCATCGATTTGCACTGTTCATCACGGTCCATGCCACATTTATTTAGGCCAGCTACACCAGACTCAACATCCTCAACAACGACCAGCTCAGCCATGAAGCACGATGACCGTCCGTTGCGTCATGGAAGTACCTCCTGCGGCACTGTCCAAAATAGATGTCTGCAGATCTCAGTTTTAGAGATGTTTTCGGACTTGCACCCAGAACATATGAGTAGCAGGGGAGGTTTGTACCTGCCTTTTCAGATTTTGGATTAAATCTGCAACAGCGCTACCCCATGCATTTTGACTCGGTCAATTGATACATAAATACTCCAGCTTTCTATCATTCTGCAGTTTATTACCATAAGTCATAAGTCTCAGTAGTGGTAGAGGTTGGGTTTCCTCCGTGCCAGGGTGCCGTCAGCCTCACAGGCGCTCGCTTCGAGACTCACAGACAGGTGCTTTTTTAAAACCCAACAGAATGTTTGCTCAGAGGATAACGAGTGAAGGATGTGGCTTGAACACGTCGCTCTTCGTCTTTGGCCCCAGCCTTGCGCTACATCACATGTTCGCACTTTGAATGCAGCGGAGCTTTGAAGACAAGATCGATCACACGGCGTCACTCTAAAAGCTATTAGTAACAAAGGGCATCGCTACTAGGAGCAAGGACGCTACTAGTAGCTCCTGGCCATACTACAAGTAGCAAGAAGCTACTAGAAATAATGTATATATATATATAATTATATGAATTTTGTTTACAAGTGAATGATGGAACGCAAACATCACGCCGTCTGTCGCAACCCTCAAGCTCGAAACCGGTCGGGACCCTTCCATGGAGCAGTGGCTGGTCCCTTTCGCAGCATTTGCACTGGGGTGGACCACTCGGCCGATCTTCGAGCCTCAGGAAGTGAAGGTCACCCCTTGCAATTGTTTGTGCACGTGTGAGTGCATTTCAAGGGATCAGAACACAGGTGTCTACATCTTTTTGCTCATCTTCATTGTTGGACTGTTGGGAGTGCTGTCACTTGGAGGCTACTTCTTGTATAGGCATCGAGAATCCACAGGTCCAGCGGTGGAATCACCAAGCAAAGGAAAGAAGGGATTTGCAGGCACTAAAGGGCAGATCCTGACCTTGACGAATTGAGAGTCGCAGCATGGAACCAGGTCATCTCTGTCTGCTGAACTATGGGGAGGCGCCTCCTTTGTACCATGTGCGCATTTTACTTGCGCCCACCTCACTGGACAATTGGATGGTGCTGACTCCGGATATGGACAGCTTTGAGGAACAAATGTCACCCTTGAACAGTGACCTCACGGACTTCATTTACTTAGGAGCCAGCACACCAGCATTCCAGCCGGGATCCCCCCTCATCAAATTTACGGATTTGCACCCATGGACCCGGGGACCTTAGCCAACCACCTTGCAATCGGGAGAGCTACTGCCAACACCATTCGAGCGGGACTTGGGCTTCCGCCTGTGGGCACTCCAGCAGTGGCAACTCCAGCTGCACCGGGCACGGTGCCGCCAGCAGCTCCTGCGGCTCCACCTGGGCTTCTGGGTGGAGGAGCAAGGGCGCCTCCGGCAATGGCCGCAGGGGCAGGGGTAGGAGAAGTGTGGGTGGCAATCGAGGAGGCTGGGGGCAGGAAGAAAGGAGATGTGATTTGTGAGGACCCTCATCCACTTCCAGCCGGTCACATTGTTTTGGGGGACAGAGCGATTGTGCCTGGGGTTGCGGGGGAGTCAGGTTGCTTTGTGAAAAAGGTGCCCCGAGCAGAGCTAGGTAGGTACGCGCTTGATGACTTGCGCATCCTGCCCGTGGTTTTCGATGCTCAGGGAACCAGGAGGCGAGACTTCAATGATGCAGTCTCAGCCATGAAGGATGGCATACCTCAGGGCGGAGGACTTCAGCTTGATGGACCGACCTCGTCACTCAACCTGCTGAAGAGCATGCGAGATCAGAACCTCACCCCCACCACATACCATGAGTACTGGCTCAGATCTGCGGAGATTCCTAAGGGAGATAGAAGCACCTATGAGCACGAGTGTTTGAGCCGCATCCTCGAATCGATGATCACAGTGGATCAACTCAATATTTGCGCGCTTCAGGGTGCGGAACTGATTTGTCGAAGGCTTCAAGTCATACGAGAGGCTCACAGAATCAGTCCAAGTTCTCCGGACTACTCCTCTGCAGATCACTTCATGGGCTGGAGGTGGCGCCGAACAGCTCAAGGAATTGACATGCAGTTGGCGTCGCATGTAGCTCAGGCTCTCAAGGATGAGGCGGCAATCGCCAAGGAGGCCCGCAAGGCCAGAGAGGAACAATCTATGCGCCGCAAGCGCCCTGGTAAAGGCTCGCAGGGTGGAGGCGGCGGAGAACAAAAATGAAGGATGGCGTGCAGCTGGGCAATGCAGCCCAGCCTGGCTGCACAGTGGACGGGGCTGCGCCCGGGAGCCATGGTGGCTTCCAAAATTTTGACGGTTCAGGCCAGGTCACTGATGAATATTTGGGGCGGTGGCGTGAGCTTTTTCCTTTACCAGACAATCCCCTCCCTCCGGTGCGTCAAGGTGTGTCAACCTCTTCAAAGAGGCGGAGCATTCGCGTGCATCGGCAAGTGGAGCAGGCCAACTCAATAGTAGAGTGTTTGAATGAAATGTACTGTGCTAGGGAGCAGAGTGTGGGTTCACCTTCGGTTTCTTTGGCGCAGCACGATAGTCAACACGCTATATACAAACAGTTGAACAGATTCAAGAGTTCATCCAAACCATGTACAGAGCAAGAGGCTGTTCAAGAGCTTCTGCGTACTTCAACCGCCTACAACGGCGAAGAAACTATGAATACGGTCCGACCCTATGACAGAGACCTTGCGTCCCTTCCTGGTTGTGGAGATGAACCAATACCTCTGACTCAGGTCATGGATGAACATGGTCGAGAACTCGTCAAGGATCCCCTAGCTTTCATGATGCGCAGCAGTGAAGAGTGGGGGGAAATGGTTGAGCGGGGTGAAACCTTTCAGCCTTACATGGACGTCCGTTTGCAGGCCAATCCTGAACTCTACGCTGGGTTCGTAAAGGACCTGGTGGACAAGAAGATGCTGGATTTCACACTGAAGCCGGGCGACCTGGTGACTCCTTTTTTCGTCAACAAGAAGAACAAAAAACTGAGGTTTATTTTGGATTGCCGCGGCACAAACCGGCGATTCAGAGATCCACCTCCGCTTGCCCTGGCTGCAGGTTCAACCTGGGCTCAGTTGGAGGTGGACCACAGCCAGAAGCTGTTCGTGGCTCAGTCTGACATCCGGGACTATTTTTTCTCATTGGAGCTTCCCCCTGACCTTAAACATCTTTTCTGTTTACCTCCTATTCCGCTGCAATATTTAGCAGAATGGGGTATTCAGGCTCCGTGTGATGGTGCGGAAGATACTAGAGGCTGGGTTTGGCCAAGATGCAGAGTGGTCCCAATGGGTTGGTCTTGGGCAATGTACATAGCACAAAGAGTTCATCAGCACATATGCCTGGAGGCCTCAGGGCTGGGGACTTCAAGGCTTCTGGTGGAGGGGCGGCCTGCGCCTTCCTTGGAAACAGGCGAGGTAGTGCTGATTCCCTACGCAGATAACCTCAATGTTGCTGGAACATGTCAAGCTGCAGTGCAAAGGACTAAAGATTGCATTGTGCACAGGCTTCGACAGCATGGCTTCAGAGTTCATGAGGAGACAGAGGCATCCACCCTGGCACAATCACTAGGTTTTTTAGTTGACGGAGAGAGACATTGCATCACACCAATCCCAGAAAGATGGGAGAAAGTCTTGCAGGCCTTTGGATGGCTTGCGCGACGACCAAGGGTCAGTGGTAAGGCAGTTGAACGCCTTCTGGGACATGCGGTGCATTTTGCAATGTTGAGACGAGAGCTTTTGTCAATTTTTAGGTCTCTCTATGATTTTGTGGCTAGGTCCTACAATAGAAGGCAACGACTGTGGGCATCGGCCGCGAAGGAGGCCAAATGGGCACAGCATCTCTTTAAACTCTGCAGTGTGAATATGAAGCGTTCATGGAGTGCAAGTGTTACAGCCTCAGATGCATCTTTGTCAGGTGTGGCTGTCTGCTCACGAGAGCTTCCCCTGAGAGACGTGGTCCGGCATGGCCGCATTCGAGAGACCTGGAGATACGTTAGTGGAAGACCTGTCAAGCCCCGTGAAGTGGTTGTTGATTTGGGTGACCCCTTTGAAGATCCAGGCACGGTCAAGCCAGTGCAAGCGGAGCGAAGTGACCCATATGAGCTGAACTTTGATTTTCCTGACATAGAGGCCGAGGTCATGCAAAAGGATTGCTGGACACAATGTTTTGCTATTCACATGCAGTATCCCGAACATATCACACTTTTGGAAGGTAGAGGAGTTATTGCTGCCATGAGACACAAATTTCGCTCGTCGCAACAGTTTGGACGGAAGCGTCTTCACTTCACGGATAACATGGGTGTGGTGCTTCTTTGCTCTAAGGGTAGGTCGAATACTTTTGGCATGCTTCGGGTGTGTCGGCGGCTAACGTGTTTGCTCTTGGCCACTGACAGTTTCCTTCAAGTGCGATGGGTGCCGAGTGAAAGGAATGTGGCTGATCAGGCTTCCCGACAGTGGGAGCATTTGAGAAAGCATGCTTTTAGCCCAGGAGGCGCGGGGACAGAAAAGGAAGACGCCCCCTACACCTCAACCTGGAATCCTCCTTCCCGAGACAAAGTCCAACCAGACACAGAAAAGCCAAAGGCAGTCACCTCAAAGACGGCTGATCAAGACCCGGGACGATCGGAAGCAGAACCGCTCGCAGGCGAAACAAGAGAATCAGACCCCGCAGAGGTTTCAAGGACAGACATTTTTGGAGCAGATGGCAGTGTCAAGACTGGTGGCCGAAGACTATCGGCGACGAATGTAGGGCTTTCTCCAATTTGCCCGAGCCCAAAAAGTCTCACAGAAGACCCTGGCGAGGGATTACAAGAGATTGGACGAGGTTTGCAACTCTTACGTGAATCACATGTTCGATCAAGGATTAGAGCTCGCCGAGGGCACAAAGTTCCTCGCCGCAACATGCGACATGTTCCCAGGTTGTGGCCAGAAGCACACTCTTGCGCGCACCCGGCGATCACTGCAGGGATGGCTGAAGCTGGAACCCCAGAGGACTCGACCACCTCTGCCGTGGCCGTTGTTGGCGGCTCTGGTCATGCAGATGTTGAAGCAACACAGAACACACTCAGCAGCAGCAGTTCTCCTCAGCTTCACCGCCTACCTTCGCCCGGGCGAGGTTCTGCACCTGAGAAAAGCAGACTTGGTCAACCCCATGCCTCGACAGAAGCATTGGTCCCTTTTGTTGCGTCCAGCAGAGCGGCAAGAACGGTCCAAGGTGGGCCTAGCGGACGAAGCATCCTGCTGGACTCTCCTCTCCTGCCATGGATCGGTCCAGCCCTCAGAAGTCTCAATTCTCCGGGAGCCTTCCTCCTCGACATCACCTACTACGATTTGGTTCAGTCCTGGCAGGCAGCGCTCAAGGCGATAGGACTTCCGAAGAGTCACGCAGTGCTCTACCAACTCCGTCACTCAGGACCTTCGCACGACAGGTTCTACAAGCTACGCCCGCTAAGCGAGGTGAAGCAGAGAGGGCGTTGGCAAGCAGACAGCTCAGTGCGGAGATACGAGGCGCATGCGCGCCTGAACCAGGAGTTCAACGACCTCCCGGCAGCCGTGCAGAGAAAGTCGCAGCTGGCAGAGCAGATGCTTCCAAAGGAGGCCCCAAGATTTTTCGGCCTTCACAACAGCTTGGGGTTCAGAAATTTGTGCTAGAAATTTTCAGTGGTTGCGCGCGTTTGTCACAAGCTTGTTCAGCCGTGGGTTTCATCTCCATAGCCTATGATATTGCCTACGGCACAGCTTGCGACGTTTTACAACCAGCTGTTTTACACCGAATCCTTCGTTTCTTGCACAAACATCAGGGCTCTATAGCTATGGTATGGTTGGGAACCCCTTGCACAACCTGGAGCAGAGCTAGAAAGCATGATGGGGGTCCCCCCCCTCTGAGAGATGATGAGCAGAATTTATTTGGCTTTGATGACTTGAGTTTTTCAGACAAACGCAAAATACAAGATGGCAACAGCCTTCTCAGTGTGTCTGAACAAATCATCTCCACATGCATTGCTTTGAACTTGTGTTGGGCGATTGAGAACCCCTGGTCTAGCCGAATCTGGCTAACACCATACCTGAAACAACTTGCCGATCGATTCACTCTCATGCGAATTGACTTTTGTGCTTATCACATGCCCTGGCGCAAAGCAACTGGAATCCTCTTTGGGGGACCCTTCTCTCTCCTTCACTTAGCGCGCGAGTGTGTGCCACAGCATGGACGTTGTTCATTTTCAAATCGCAAACACATTGTTTTGGTAGGCAAGGACAGTGCAGGACAGTGGTTGACACGCAGAGCGCAACCCTATCCCTTTCATCTGTGCCATGCAATTGCGAATACTCTGACAGAGCACAGGTGACTGTGGGTTGGGGAGTGCCTGACTGTTCACGTGGCCACAATGAAACCCA